TGTCTCTTGTATTCCAATTTGTTGTTACATGCAAGTTAAGGGTTAAATATAGTATACTTACCGGGGATAACTTTTGTCATTCCTTTTAGGCTTATATTTAAGTCTAATTTCAGTTTAAGATATAGGCTATCCTTATTGTGGAATTTGGAGACTAGCTTATATATATCGTTTTATTTATGCTATTGACTATAATGAAGGTAGAAACAGGTTTAAAGGCAAATTATTGGTACACATTCCGCATATCATTCATAATTTGTGCAGTGATATAAGAACCCTTAATTACTAGTACTCGGTTGATACATCCGCTGGTGGATTACATATATCCATACTTAAGGTGGGAGGTACGTAAATTAGCGCCTCTAACGGTAAACGGGAAAAAATACGTTTGCTGTTATGAGAGTTATCTCCCTTATACCAGAAAAAATATCATTCAAGGTGTCGGGAGATTCCGCCTCGTCCGCAGAATGGACAATTACGGTGGAACTGTACTCAATGAACTCCATCAACGTTTCTCAAAAAGCGTAATTATTGTATAAGAAATTGTTTGTCCGAGTGAAACATATCTTCCCTCCAAAGAAAACGAAAATACTTTAGCATGGCGTGATGGTCTTAGAGTGGTTGAGTTGGGTTTACTGGCCGACTTACTAAAACCTTGTAAGAACTGCTCTGCACCTTTTTTTACCACAACTAAAACAAATACGGTGTCGTCAGTATCTTATATGTACCTTCAAGTTGTTGAATCTGTCTCTATATTGACTTCTAAACACTAGAAAACGGCACAGATCAGAGACTTAACAAAAAGAAAATTCAAAAAGGCCGTGAACACAAAATGAAGTAAAATTATAAACACAAGCATATACACACATACACACGCAATATAACAAATTAAAGTTTATACTATAACGTAGGATTTTTGTTTCATTTCATATATATTGAAATTCCAAAGTAAATATATTCAGTTCTATAAAAATTCTTCTCGCAAAACTACTGACACACTATGTATTCAATTTTCGACATTTAACAGAAAAAAACTTTTATGTCAAGCTTTATAACTGATATTCTTGACTTGATATTCATGATAGTTAATATCTTTCCAACCTAACATTTGGAAGTTCATAATTATCAAAACCGTTGTTTACAGTGTTTTCTTTCACGTCCGCAATGCGGTCTATAAATAAAAGTAGAAAGAACTAGCGTAAAATTTATCTAATATTGGAACAAAAGTATTGATTTCTTTTTTGGCGGATGTGGCATGAATTTTGTTTTATATAATGTCGTAAATTACTGGGTTAGTGTAAGACTGAGGGATGAGGAAAAGAAACTTGAATGAAAATCGTAATAGGGGAGAGGGAGCCTTGTAAACGGACGAACGGGAAGTAAATTTGAAATTTCAGATGAACGAAAAAAAAAAAAAATAGTTTACATGTTGCTTTTGACCAATTTATACGAAACATGGCGAATAATAGCTTCAAGCACAAAAACATGTGAAATGAAAATTGCAAAACCGTTGCACAAAAATTATCATTTAACATCGCTTTGAAAAATAAACAATGAACACCAAAGTTCATATAATATTATACTGAAACTTCAGAAATGTTTGATTGCATTTATTATTACACTTTTAAGGAATGAACAAAATTTCGTGACTAATTATTACGATTTCAGTAAAAGTTGTAAACAAATATTGCTTCCAAAATTTAAAATTCGAGTTTTTATTTTTGCAATATCGACAAAATTTTGTGACTAATAATTGCTATTTCAGTAAAAGCTGTAAACAAATATTGCTATAAAAAATTAAAATTCGAGTTCTTTATTTTACTATATCTAGTCTGTTAAGGTCAATTTCCTGTTTAAATATTGAAACAAATTTCGCTTTGCTAATTTATTGATTTTTTTGTTGAACCTTACCTTAGTACTATATCAGAGTAAAGCAAATAAGGTACGTGGATTTCTATACATCATTTTGTTTATTTTCTTTTGTTTCCTATTCTGACATCGGACTCGGATTTCTCTTAAACTGAGTTTTACTGTGCGTACTGTTGTACGTTTGTTTTTTCTACATTGGCTAGAGGAATAGGGGGAGGGTTGAGATCTCCAAAAACATGTTTAACCCCGCCGCATTTTTGCGCCTGTCCCAAGTCAGGAGACTCTGGCCTTTGTTATCTTGTATCATTTTTAATTTTAGTTTCTTGTGTATAATTTGGAGTTTAGTATGACGTCCATTATCACTGAACTAGTATACATATTTGTTTAGGGGCCAGCTGAAGGACGCCTCCGGGTGCGGGAGTTTCTCGCTGCATTGAAGACACATTGGTGGCCTTCGACTGTTGTCTGCTCTATGGTCGGGTTGTTGTCTCTTTGACACATTCCCCATTTCCATTCTCAATTTTATCTACTATGAATTTTGTGATAATATGAAAGTAAATTAAGCTATTTCAATAGCGTTACTATAAACTATAGACAATGACAAATATTGCCAATCTGATAACTGTTTTCTTTCAAAATATGAACTTTAACCATAACTTTTGTAAATCCTAGATGTTACAATGACTGTTTTCTATATTTTTCACACCTATGTTTAGATTTTGTGAATGTCTTGAATATTGTAATTGGTACAAAATCTTTTGATGATTGCATTTTCTTTTTAGTCAATCTCATCTCATCCGTTTATACTTTGGATCCAGTAACTTGGAATATTTTGGAATAAACTTGAGGTGTGAATTGTGTTATATTCATTTCGACTGATATTAGCGGGATACATTCTCTTTTGCAATTGTTGCAATAATTAAAATATCTGAAATAAGATATATGTAACAAATTTTCCAATAAACTGAGAATGAATTTTTTTATTTAAAATGATCCAAGCAGTGTCATAGATACAGGATCATGTTTTCGTATAAATGGACGGAAACAATAAAACAAATGTCTACAAATAGGATTTTTGTAAATCATTCTGATATGTATGCAAAAAATATACGTTTAGCCTATTTAGATGCAAGAAATGGGTCTATTTCCTTGCTAGCATAAAAATTTTCCCAATTACAGTAAAGAATTTCAAAGATCGATTAAGGGAAATCGGCAAAACAACAGAAATTAATTCATAACTTTTTAAAACTTTTATCGATTTATAGCTTGACATATTGTATAAAGACCTATCCATTTTTGAATATGTCCTTAATTATTTTGTCGTTGAATTATTGCTGATTGGCGTACATCTAATACTGATTGGAAAAAGTTATAAATGCCAAGGATTTTATTAAATCCGTAGAAATGCAAAGGATTTTATATAATCTGTAGAAAACAATAATCGGTAAGCGCACACGATACTTTTTAAGACAGGATAATGGTTTCATATTGCTCTTTATCACAACGATTTAGAAGAATAAATTATAATCAAAGAGACACCTTTATGAAGCGGTCGTTGGTTCGTACTGATTGTTTCTTGTGAAATTATTTTCAAGTTGGTTGACAATGATTCTGCTGATGGAGATTTGACGTCGAAAAGTTCAGTTGGCGACATCATGCAATTTCAACTGTTTTTACGTCAGCAACGCCTTTTTGACGGCTGATATATAAAAAAGGAGTTTTGTAACCCCATACAAATTATTCACCAATAGGAAGGAAATTTCCATCATAACAACATTTAATTTTTAAAGAAAAATCGTAGGATTGGTTTCAACGGCAGAATAAACTAATCTTTATATATCAAATTTTTAATGTAAATTTGACGTTATGTCTATGTACTTGAAATTGGTTTCCTCACATTTTCAGAAGGCTGTAACTCCGAAAGTAGATCGGTTACCCACTAACTTTTTTTGAATTTTCATTGTATCTTTTAAAGTTCTAAGTATATACAATTTCTTTTAAAAATCGCTACACAAGCCATTTACGTACCTGTTACCTTAAGAAGCCAGAACTTTAACACTAGCATGAAAATATGGATATTGTTTGTTTACATTTGCTGTTATGAAAGTTTGAAATCTTTTCAAATTAAAAGACTCGGGCATAGTGCAGATTTACTATCAGGTCTTAGCTTTACTTTTGGTCGTTTATAGTCGAATATTTCAGCCATAATCATCACTAACGATGCATTTGTTGTCAAAATGCGTATTTGGTGTATTTGTTGTCAAAATTCGCATTTGGTGTATTAATATTAGTACCGTTAATGCAATCGCAGTCTTGTTGCATCAACTGATCTAAATACAAGTAGGAGTGTCTGGTACGTGAACTTACTATGGAATGTACGGATCACATAACTGTTATCGATCAAGTCAACCACAAATGTAGCTAGTTTATTTGGTCTTTTAACTCTTTTTTGATTTTTGATTCGGGGTCACTGATGATTCTTTTGTAGACAAAACGCGCCTCTAGCGCTAACAAATATACGCCTGTTATCTTTGATGAGTTTTGTATTTATGTTCGATTGCGAACAGTAACGTCTCCAATAAATATACATGATAAAGCTATGTTTGTACTGAGAACGGTTGATACTTGGATAAATATAAACAGTTAAGTTTTGGTTAGAGTACGATTGCTGTTATATGTTTAATATTCCTGTCAATCTGTAGTCAAGGTGAAAGCCTATAATTAAGAACATCATTTTGTATTCTCACCGGAACACCCTCAAACGATAAAATTTCAAAATATCGGGTTCCTACCTAGATGCAAAATATTAAATGATATGAACGAAAGCTAACTGTGTCAATACATAATAAAGGGTACATTGATGCTTTGGGCATTAAAAGTTCAAAGTTAAATTTTCATTCCTTAAAGTTATACTATTTTGGTATTATTTTGAAATCACTACAACAATTTTTCTTTATTGCAATATTTTGTAATTAAAAATATCGAACAATCGATTTTTGTTCTTTTAAGTGAACAGAAACAAAGTGCACCATCTGGTTACCTGTGAAAGCTTATACGTTTTTGACAAAAAAGTTTGCATGCAACAGAATAATTTTGTATCGAATGATATTGTTGTTTACTTCAATACAATCAGTTTAATGTTCTCGTTTGTTATGGAACAGCATTGTATCAATATGTTATACAGTTTTCTCGTGTTGTCACTTTTGTTCGCCGTACATTATTCCCTTGAAACAAAAGACATTAGGGGTAAGACACTTCTTTACTCTAAACTTGCATTAAGAATAACTAATAATAGATACCAGGATCAATAAGCATATAATTAAGAACAAGATCGTATATTACTATGAGATTCTTGATTGTGTCATTATATTATAAGTTAAAGTTTTACGAATTTGTTTTGATAACAGTTTGTATGGTATAATGTAAAGACGATGAATATAATGCAATACTATTAGCAGAATAGTGCAAAATTTAGAAGTTAGCACCAAATGTATAAATATGTTTTACAGAAACTTAACAACTAAAACATGTAAAACAACTGTACAAAAACCTATCTTATAACTCTTACAATACATACTAGTATTCATCTTCTTATTGAAGGGAAAACGCATCCAGAAAGAAAGGAAACAAACTTAAATGTGAGTCTATTCATTTAGTCCTTGAGGGTGTAGCACCTGGTTGTGTCTTCCGATTTAACGTATCAGCATGATGTTGTAGTCCTAATTTAAAGATAGAAGATACCCACCCAGAAAGAAAGGAAACAAACTTAAATGGGTATCTATTCTTTTGTCCTTGAGGGTGTAGCACCTGATTATGTCTTTCTATTTAACGTGATGTTGTAGTCCTAATTTAGAGAGAGAAGATATCATGATATCAATAAAGACCATAAGTCGAAGCAAAACAGACAAGACCAAGAAGAAGAAAAAAAATAATACGTGAAGAAAACCAACAGTCCAGAAAACAATATTCAGAAAACTAAATATTGATTAACACGAACCATCTAAAACATTGAGATGAACACAGGTTCTTTGATAGGATAGGGAAATCCTACTCTACAAGTTTATACCTTATGTTTTAATGTATGTGTATAATGCAGGACCTTATTGTAAACTAGTTTTTGAAATGAATATGTTATCGTGTTGAAATAAAGGAAATTATTATTATTATAATGATCAAGTTGACTTAACTTTGTTTTGGTAATCATATGATGTGGTAAATTGGTATCTTCCGCTTCTCTTAACAAAAAAATGCACACATAAGACTTATTGCAGTAACATCATTTTTTCTGGTCTACAATTGTTTTTCAGAAAGGGGTCTTAAATTATGTTACTTGTCATTTAGCTGAAGGAAGCTAATTCGTCGAGAACACAATTTTAAATTCATATTTTCTTTTCATATAATAATATCACGACATCGGAAGTTTGGAAATCATGTCTTTTAATTTTTTTACGTCACAGAAGTCTTTCTAACTAACATGTGCTATACCTATTTATACGGTCAATTGAAAATATGTTTGCATTCTATGTTTTTATTTTATCTTTTGGAAGTGAAATATTTTACTTTAACGATCTATATAGTTTTCAAAGGGGACAGTAGTTTAGTGTTTACATGTACATACATTTGAGTAGAATAACGTAAAGAATAATTTAGAACATATAGAAAAGATGTCTTTAACATGAAAAATTCTTACAAAATCATGAAATGAAAAGACGGATAATGAACAATCTTATTTAAATTTGAGCTCACCGTTTAAGGTTTGTTGTATGCGTGGAAACGACCAAGCATTACAAAGTGAGCGAGTGTAAATGATTTATTTTAATCATATTGGATTTTGAACTTACAGTTTAGATTTATTTTGGAAAATTACTGAAAAAAGTGTTTTACCTTTGATTTCCTAATTTTAACATGTGCAATTAAAAAAAAACGTAATGCAATGATGTGCGTACATAGTAATACTGTGGATTCATTTATTTTCATGGGTACCAATTTTCGTGGATTGTGAAAAACTTGCATTTTCATGAATATTTGATTTCGTTGTTTTAACAAAGTCTGCATACATTTCTTCAGAAAACTTGTAATTCGTTGAACATTTGAATTCGTGGTTCTCCTGTACCCACGAAATAAACAAAAATTGGTATCCAACGAATAATAATGAATCCACAGTATTCTTTTCGTGATTATTAATCGGTTAAATAACTGTTTTAGCCGAAAAAACAGATCGAAATAGGAAACGATTAATATTAAGTAAAAAACCTACCAAAAGCGCTAGTTTTACATTTAAATAAATATATTTTAGGATAATTCACTTAATTTTTAAAAATGTTAGGCGCTAAAGATATACCCAGACAAATCAATAATTCTGAATTTATCGCTACCAAAATTTATTGGATCGTGTCACTTTGATAGTATGTGTATTGCATGTCAATTAATTAATGTTGGGCGTTAGCCTCTGCCTATTTCGAACATTTTGATAAATTTCGGGCTACTTCATTTTAAAAAATTCTACAAAATGAAAAAAATTGCAATATCCTAAGAAAAGCTGACATGCAAGGAAGTTAAGGTCGTATTGCTGTCATATTTGTTAAGAAAATAACATTCAATGTAACTTCATCGAAATATATTTTCTGTTTAAATAACTTACAATGGCCTTGCAAACAGGTATATTAAATTTACCAGTAGCATAAGTTTGATATTGATACATTACCCTTCTTCTATGTTAAATTTCTTTATTTAAACAAGAAAATCAATGTTAATTATGCAATCATTTATAATAATGAAGCAAACCGTGTGATGTCAACAACCTTAAACATCAATTTTTATAAATAGTTCGGCCATTTTATAGTAATTTAAGTACAGAAATATCTTGATAAGGCAACATGCATGATTGCATTCAATCAAAAATGTCTGTTCAAATCCCTTATCTTTTAAATTCAACTGGTATCACTGTGTTTTACTAATGCAAGTTCAAGTCCTTGTATATTTGACATTTTCTTAATTATTTAGTTGTCTTAAGCATGAGAAAAATCAATAGGTTTGTATAGTTTTTTGAAAGATGTGATAAATGGTACTTCTTATTCATATGGCCAAATACAATATATAGGAGATATATATGTATATATTAATATTAAATTCAATTATTTTAAAATCTCATAAATATATTTCTAATTTTAAATTATTTACAAACTGTTTTTTTGGGGTATCTTAATTATTAAAAGGACAAATCTACAAACAATTAACACATGCAACATTTAACAGAAAAGTTAAAATATGCAATACATAAAGCTAAATCAAATTCCTTTTACAAGTAAAAGAAGCAGAAAAAAATAGTTTTACATAAGTCAAAGAAAGGACAAATATTGTTCGTTTGTTTGCAAGTTTTTCTTTCAAATACATGTATTCTATTGATCTCATGAGGAATATAGCCTTTAAAGCAATTTGGTTATTATTTTGATAAAAATTAATTTTTTGGTCACCAACAAATTTTATAAACACCGGAGATTGTAATTGAACTATACAAAAAGAATTCATATTATTATTAATGAATGATTTTTTGTCATGTACATTTGGCTGCCAAACTGGATGAGTTTATTGTATAACATGTATGAGGAGTAAATGTAGTCATAAAGTTATATTTCAATATGTTTGAAGCCGATATATTGGAGCTTCATATTTTACTGAAATTTGTTTTAAGATAAACAGTACAAGCCAAAAAGATAATTCAAGAAAAATATCGAGCCCTGGTTGGTAGGCTAAAAAAAAAAATTGACAAAACATGTGCCTTGCAGCATGCAATCATTAAATCTAGTAAATGGTGATGTTAAAGCACAACATGGAACGTGTCTGTTTGCGCTCGGCTGACACTGACACAGATTCTCGTCTTCAAAACAATAGTTGTCTCATTGACAATCATACCACATATCCTTATTTTTATATTTAAGGATTTGTGCTATCGAACTTTTCGATTTGTAAGCATCAAAAGTTAAACATTGTAATTTTTTCGTACACAAAACATCCTTTTGTTTGACAAAAATTGTAGTAAATTATATTTGTTTTTTTCTTCCACTTATTTATTCTCATTTATGCCTGTCGTCTTGTCAATAACAGAAGTGTATAACGTATATACTTTTGGAGATATACTTAATATTATATGCTATTATAATATTTATTTGTGAGAAAAATCAGGGTGGTTCGATAATTTGTATGAGGTGTATACAAATGTTTATGTGCTAAGGGAAGTTTTAAAATTTGACTATCAATTCTTTTTGTTATGCCCATTCACGTTTTTAAGAGTTTTTGCAGCTGGTGTTTACAATGCATACTAAACATTTCTCTAACATTTAAATCATAAAGATAGTAAACATTTTCAATGTTTCCCCATAACTTTCTCATACATTTTTCATCAAAACTATTTCCATACATAAAATTCTAAACGTTTATGTGTTCCTATTACAAATACTTATTTCGTAGACGACACTTTGTCAATGACCTGTTACGCGCTGTAACGCAAAACAGATTAGGGTCATTGATCTGAGCAAGTTTATTATCTCCCGTTATTTTTCACTAGCGGTAGTTGACATTTCTACAAAATGCAAATCCTTAGTACAAGTACTAACATCCTGTATATATAGAAATTATGACTTGAAAACTTTTGTCTAAGTAAGCCGGACAAACCATATACCACGAATGAATCATCTCACCAGAAATGAGCAAAGTTTAAGAGCCTGTCATTTCTTAAATAATTACGGAAAATCATGTTACTGATGATGTACACACCTTTCTATATGTACTTACATCCTGTACAATCAATATGAAAGTTCAAACTTTAAAACTGCAGGAAGAGTAATTTGGAAAAAAAATGTTTCCTATGTAGGACGAAAGGACGGACGGACGTAAAGCAATATGTCTCACGATAATTTGTCGTTAGGGCTTTAAAATGATTACTAGTATTAAAAATACTGATAATAAAAAGGTAGCTTGCTATGAAATACGAAACTTCAATACTTTTGTATAATATAAAGGAAAACAAATATTGATAACATGTTAAATTTAAAAGTCACATGAAAATGTAGAAACTGATTTGAAATAATTTAATACATTTTTGAGATGACATATCGATGCCACACGAAAAGAGCTCAAATTTAATTTCAGATGTGAGAACATATCGAGAATCAGAAGAACATACAAGAGTTGATGACATTTTACGCGAGTTACAAGGTAATATTATTGCTATATTGTCCTTGTGTATGTACAATCCTAGTTATTCATCTTTCAAGAAGCGCTGAGTTGTTTGTTCAATGTTAAGCATTCATGTTTAACAATTTATGCATCATGGACTTCATCTAAGTCAAAATAAACTTGCTCTAGAGAACTATTGTTTCCTTATATAATAAATCGCTAACAAGATAGGTGGAAGAACCCAAAAGGATAGTCAAAACTGATAATCCCATTCTCGTTTGCGAGGCTAAATGTTTATATTACTAAGTAATTATTTACAGGGGGCCTCAGTGTCCGAGTGGTCTTCGTAGTCGAACTACTGTATCACTAGCCTGATATATGATAGTTATTCCTTTTATGTATTTGACTTAAGTGAAATGTACGCATTTTGAATTGACAGCGCACCATCCTTTAGTTTTATTGTTACTGTCAAATTCATATATATTAGGCGACATTTATGTATTTAAGTGTTTCTTGACGATCTCTTCAATGTTCCTGTTTCTTTTGAATACTACTGCAGTTTTTTTTTTATTAAAGATATTTTGGATTTGTAGGTTGTCCTGAATTATATGCCAATGTTTTCTTATAAAAAAAGAAATGTGTCTTTATAACCTTTCCGTATTATATTTTCCTTAAATAAATCTATTCATATTTGAACTGATTAAAATCAGAGGTATTTCCCAAGAAACGTACTCCTTCACATTTAATAAAGGAGTTGAAACAATTTCTAGCATGATTTGAAGAAGAAATTAAACTTTTTTTCGAAACAGCTAACGAAATCATAACCTCCTGCTTTTTACTTTTGAAATTGACAGAGAAAGTTTGAAAGTTCCTGATCTAGAAACATATAAAGGACAGAGATTTCAAAACGAAAATATCTTAGATATCAAATATTTTACAAAACCAACAGAAAATTTTGAATACCCACACCAACAATAAAATCATGCTGCAGTTGTTTCAAATCCTTCATTAAAGGTGAAGGAATACGCATATTAAAAAAATACCTCTGATTCTGATCAGTTCAATATACGAATAAATCTGTTTCATAGTTATATTAAGTTTTTCTGGGTAAATTTCCAAGTTTGATTAGAGAAAATTACCAGGTAACACATTTCCTTTATTAAATGCATTTAAATTGATTTTTACTGAGTTTTTGTTTTAATTAGATATCTCCTTTTTAATACGATTATGTGGTACAGAGAGTCCAACATTCTTTACAATCACCATATCAAACGAATTTGAAATTAATTTCACAATTATAAGTTTTTCTTTCTCTTACTCTTGACTGTATGATCTAGCAATATTTGATTTCTTACTGCAGCATCATTACAACTTTTATTTTATAGGAATATGTCTGCATGAAAATCAGTACAGAGATGTTAAGCAACTGAAAAAACATACACAATCTATACTAAAAAGTAAGTATTTTACGATTTTAAATGTTTATAAATTATTGATTTAAATCTGTAAAATATCCGGTCAAAGACACCATGTAAAAGAAACGACAAAAATTACCACAAGCCACTAAGAAGGAAACATTCACAATAGACTGGTACCTATACAACTTATATGTGCACTCTATTAACCGACAGAAGACGGAACTAGTCGGCTCAATAACGAATGCTTGTTGTGTTTTCGTAAATAAAACTCAACATCAGAGCAACACAATGTGTGCCTCATGTAGATCAGGTACTGTTTAACCTCCGGAACACACGACTTTACCCCAGTTTATGGCGGGTTCTTGTTGCTCAGCCTTGAATTTTCTATAAAAAGTGTTGTTAAAGTTTTTTGTCCGGTGTTTCATGATTTTCAATTGCCCCCTCTGTATATTCTCCCTTTTTGACAATCATGCAAAAAGTTTGTAATACCAAACCAATAGATATAGGAAGATGTGGTATGAGTGCCATTGAGACAACTCTCCATCCAAGTTACAATTTATAAAAGTAAACCATTATAGGTCAAGGTACGGCCTTCAGCACGGAGCATTGGCGCACACCGAACAGCAAGCAATAAAGGGCCCCAAAAAATTACTAGTGTGAAACCATTCAAACGGAAAAACCAACGGTATAATCTATATAAAAACGAGAAACGAGAAACACGTATGAACTACATAAACAGACGACAACTACTGTAATCAGATTCCTGACTTAGGACAGGTGCAAACATTTGCAGCGGGATTAAAACACATTTTATTTTAATCTTTTTTTTTGTAATATCTACTCAGCATGGTTGATGATACATAACAGAAAGGAAAACTATTTGATTGAAAATCACTAATAAAAAAAAACAATGTGTACCGGATTAAAAGCAATAACTGTATTATGTGTATTTGTATTGTATCTGTGTTGTTCGAACAGCGGTATACTACTGTTGCCTTTATTAATAAACATTTAAAGCCTGTCTTTTTGACAGATATGGCGGTGTATAAAGATGTAGTAAAGATGAATAAACAGTTAAAGGATGATATACAATGGATTCTAGAAGGTCAGTATAAATGATTCAACCGTTACATATATTTACATATATATTTGTCCGTAACAGTTTATACAATTGAGAACTCTCATATTGGTAAGAAACCTAAATCAATCAATTACATTATCTAATACGGTACTTAAAGTAGTCTTTTTAACATATTATCTGCGCAAATGAACTATAACAGTGTTAGGCTATGGATTGTCGAAAAAAAAAAAATGCAAATAAAACGAACATCACTGACATGATATTACAATTGGTTCTTTTAATGTTATTATAACCTATGGGTCGATAACTTTGTTGATGGACTGTAAGTCCCTGACGGTATCACCAGTCTTCTAGCAAGTAATTCGCTAATTGCGCGAATAAACAGATGTTGTGTTATTACATTTACCTATAATAAAGTTTTAGAAATCATTTAAAATTAAGGAACGCATCTCCTTCTTGCATTTATATAGCACTGATCTAGCAAGTAATTCAATAATTGCACGAATAAACGGATGTTGTGTTATTGCATTTGCCTATAATATAGTTTTTAAAAATCATTTAAAACTAAGGAACGCATCTCCTTCTTGCTTTTATATAGCACTGATTCCTTGTCTGATTTTGTCCATTATCTGGTTTGTTCCTCTTTAGTTTATCAGTTCTTCGACGTTAATATATTTTGAATTTTCAATATTCTGACGTTTCAGTCTCGTTGAAATCATGTTCTGGAATTATTTCCAAAACATGTAATACAAGTGGAAAATATCAATGAATTTAAAAAATATTATAAACAAACTTAACTCTGTGAAAAAATTGTGTATTTACAAATTGTAGTTTTTGAGTAATAAAATTTTCAAATTTTATAACCGTTCAAATCAGTCTCATTAGCCAAAATGTTGAGAAAATGGGTGAGGGGTACAAGAAATGATTTTACGAGATACATGGTCATCCCAAATCAATATTTTTTGTCTCGCCTTGACGGAGTCAAAAAGCGAAACATAGGTATGCTGTTTCCGGCGTCGGCGGCGGCGGCGTCAACAATGTATTAGTTTGTAATTAGGTGTAGTTTATGGTAAACCACTGGTGGTAGGTCAATGTTATTTGGTATGCAGTTGTATTAGCATTGGCACATCTCATTTCCATGAAGATTATTTGGCCCTGTCCCATCAGTCATGGTCTATTGACTTTGAACATTTTGCTTAGTTTACATGTATTAGTTTGTGATAAGTCATGGTTCATTGACTTTGAATATTTGCATAACTTACATGTTAAAGTATTGCTATTTTAATTTCAACATTATCAAAATTACAAAAAGGAGACACATATCTCTGTGTTAACAGTTTATTTCTTTTCAAATTTCTTTTTTTTTTCAATCATTTATAACAAAGAAGCTGAAACAATATGCTTTTTGTTCTAAAAAAAGAGAAAAATCCCAAATTTACAAAATTGAAAACATGGTAAACTTGACACGAAAAAGCAACAAAAGCTTGTAAAACTTTCTCATATTAATACTTACTTATAGTTTTTCAAGTTAAATTCATTCAGATTGGTCCACTTCATCTTTAGTGAAAGTATGAAAAACAGTTTAATTGTGAAACTGTGTTTTTTTCCATGATAATAGCCTGAAAATGGATAAAAATTGATGAAAAATGGGATAATCATCAAAATTGGGTACTTTCAAATTGCTGTTGCCAAAAAAAAAAAAAAAGTGCACCACCATATGATGTTTTCTTCACCAACTATTTTTTTACAGTCATACAAACCCAAAAATCAGGTAAAGAAAAAACGTGTAGTTCTAGAAATTTTTGGCTCCTCAGAGGTGTACATCCTTAAGCATCACTGGAGAAAATTATTTGTCATCATCTGGTCTCAAACAACTGGTATCGTTAATGGTAATATGCAAACAATTAATATATGTTTGTATACGATGTCAGTTAAAGTGAAAATCGAATTCCCCATTCACCAAGCCCCTCAAAGTGTTTTCCATGCTCAAAAACAGGGATACAGTAAACTGATAAAAAGTATATATTAATATCCACAGAATGTGTATTTTACGTAATGAAGTTGATTATGTATTGGAGGAGTGTTTTATTCTTTTTGGAGTGTTTTATTCTTTTCGAGTATGACGATTATTCAAAATTGAATAATAAAAAAAAAGAAGTAAGATACAAGGAGACATATAGCATATTGCTACTAAATAAAAAAAAATTAGATTCAAAGCTAATTTTGAGTCGTCGGTTTTTAAAAATGAATAATTAAAAGTACTTTTGCATTTCTGCCTCTTTTTTCAATTTTCATATAGGTGGATGCATTGATAAACAGTTGACACATTAGTATGTCGTGCCTCTACGTTATTATGATTGGAACATGTAAAAATCAAAATGGCAATACTCTTTAATGCAAATATAAAATTTTGAAAGATCAATAAACCATGAACGAGCTGGTTTGGAAAAATAATATATAAAAGATTTGAGTTGCGCCTAGGCTAGTACAACTGAATATTAAATATCATTGACTCACCATTATTGACTCTTCATAACCTCACATTATCACAACTAGTTACATACACACTAAAAAATTCAACTGTCCATCAACTTTTAGAAATATACAACTGCATCTTAAACTCTTTGGAAAAAAAAAGAAATAAAATGTTTTGTATTCTGTGATTTCTCTAAAGCGTTTGACAACGTTTGGCATAGAGGTCTTATTCACAAACTGAAAGCCTATGGTATTGATGGAACCTTGTTACAGTGGTTTGAAGATTATCTGCATGACAGGAAACAAAGGGTAGTACTGCATAGTTCGTCCTCCTCCTTTTGTAATGTGTCAGCAGGTATACCCCAGGGATCTGTTTTGGGCCCTCTTCTCTTTGTTTTATATATTAATGATATATTAATGATATTGCTGATAAGTTTACATCGCTGTGTAGGCTATTTGCAGACGACACTTCATTCTGTTATTCCGGTAGCGATGGTGAACAGATTAAATCTGTGATCGACCGCGACCTGAAAGATCTGGATGTTTGGTCAACTAAATGGCTTATGTCATTTAATCCTGATAAAACAGAAATTATGATATTTTCAAATATTGAGATACCAGATCTCAACTTTTCCCTAAATGATAAAACTATCCCTATAAATACATCGCATAAGCACCTGGGAGTTACCTTTAGGTGTGACGCAAAATGGAACAATCATATTGAAAGTATAATTACAAGTGTAAAGAAACACCTTAATGTTCTGCGTAAACTTAAATATCGACTGTCTCGTAATAATTTTGAAAAACTTTATCTAGTTTTTATTAGATCCATTTTTGAATATGCCACGGAAGTGTGGAATAAATGTGGGATATGTTATTCAAATAAATTAGAAAACTTGCAATTGGAAGCCGCAAGAATTGTAACAGGTCTACCAATCTTCACTAATACTGATACTCTGTACTCTGAGGTTGGCTGGAAATCTTTATATGAAAAACGAAGAAGACGAAAATTACAGATGTTTTATAATGTGAATAAAAAACATGCACCTGAGTACCTGTGTAATCTTGTCCCCCCATGTATACAAAGTACAACCAACTATCCTTTGCGAAACGGTCAAAATATCATTGTTCAATTTTGTAGACTTTCCCTCACCACTGAATATTTTATTCCATCCACAAAACGAGAATGGAATAAGCTTGACTTCAAAAATTCGAAACACCGACTTTATATCTAAATTTAAGAGAGAATTGAAAAACGAAAGTGTTCAGAGTAGAGTTGCGCCGTATTATATGTACGGTCCGAGGAAACTGAATACTATTTTAACTCAATTGCGATGTTCCGCTTCATTTTTAAACTCTGACCTTTTCAAATATAACATTATACTGGATCCTTCGTGTCAGTGTGGGTCTGATATTGAGGATGTTCATCATTTTCTTTTAGTTTGCCCAACATACACTACATGTAGAGAAATTTAACTTAACAATCTTAATTGGTTTACTGAAAACTTTATTATTGATACTAAACTATTAACTTGCGGAGACCTTGAACTTTCGAATGAACAACATCTCCTAATTTTCAAACATGTTCAAGATTTTATTAAAAGGTCTAACAGATTTCTAGTACCTTCATAAAATGTTATTGCTACCGGCACGGATGATCATCACCATCAAACCTAAGTCATCGTCACAGAAAATATGATTTGCTTCTTTTTCTTTTCCTCCTTTTCCATTCTTCTTGTTCTTTTCTTCTTTTTATTTATAGCTCGTATAATAGTTAATGAATTTGTTCGCTTTACATGCATGCTCATAATGTTATTATTGTATATATACTTGTATTGTAATATGGAGAAGACTTCATAAGTATGATTTACTTGTGTCTCATCCATTTTGCTGATATTTAGCAAATACAATATGTTTAAAGTAAACTATACACACTTTGCAAAAGTTTAAAAATAAATGACCCATGACTGATATGTCGAAGGGTTACATATTCTGTATTAATATGAAATATGCCCGTACTAAAACATCAACGTATATTATCATCGTTTTATAATTAGTGAATCGCACTAAAATTACATTATCACAAATTTAAGCCATTCCGGAGGCTCCAGCTCTACTGAAATCAGATCACTTAGTAAATGAATGGTCTTGCTGTTTTGGATACACATAAAACATAAACTTCGGAAGCAAATGTAACATGAAAAACATAAAAAAGTCTAGGATTGTAAGTTCATCCATAGACTGGTGGAACTATTTGTAAATTTTCAAAGCCTATTTTTTTACGATATACAATATATTATTTCATGTATAATGTATATGTTTGATAGGTGGAGTTCTATATCCTTCAAATAGTTGATTCGAGGGCTTAATGTTTAGCATGCATTCGAAAGAGAATAAAGAATAGTGTTCCAAATGTCTTTTAAAGAAAGGAGATTCACACATTCAGTGAATGAATAATATAAACGTTTGGCTAATAATTTGCATATTAATTTTACAGAGTCTCGTGGCGAAAAAGAAGTTTCAAGAATTTTAAGACGGTTAAAACTTGATGTAAAAGGTAAATATAACACATTTATTATTGACTTGTCATAATCATCATCAATTCCTATCTCTTATTGTGATGATTATAATGAATACACTTAAAGAACCGGGCGAAGAAATATTACAGAAGAAAAACAGGAGAAAAAAGGGGAAACATAGCATATGTAAAATCGTTGTTTAAGAAAAAGATGTGTTAATGTGAATAGTGTGTACGTTTATTAAAATATATTTGTTTGTACTAAATCTATACACAAGTATCAAATATAAAACAAAACAGGGATATGTGGACGTAAAGAAACAGGGAAATACTGCACTGAATTAAAGAAAGCTAGAGCAATCTCCGGTGTCTACCAAATATTTCCCGAAAAAACAGAAGGAGTAAAAGCTTATTGTGACATGGATACAGACAATGGGGGATGGACTGTAAGTATTTTTCTAAATATGTAATTACACCTGTCTAATCGGGTTGACCAACACAACCACAATCGCTAAAATACACGCTAGTAACATGTTCAAATTTTAGAATATCTCGGAAATCGTTATAAATAGATAAAATATGGCTGGTGCAAACATGTTCATCTTGTCAAGATCTACCAACGGTTCTGTTTATTTCATTAAAATTAAGACAACTCCTTAAAAGCTTTTTATTTTTTTTTTATCAAAATGATGTTACATATATAAATATATAAATAACATTCTATAGTAAGAAAGAGGAATAAGTTTACCTTTCCTTCTGATTATACATTAATTTCAAAGTATTATATCCAATGCTATAAAAGATTGATTTTTCAGTAAAGATTTAGTACACTTAGTCTAGTGATTATTTTACATGTTTAATAACTAAGTTGAATTCAGTAAAAACTAAGATAATTTATAAAACAGCCAGAAGAAAAAGAATTTAATCACGAGAATCGTTTGTCTGATAATGAAATTGTTTTAAAATCGAAAAGGAAAATGTATCAAACAAGGTATTTGAATATTATGAAGTTATCGGTACCGTTATATATCATGTATATATACTACATGTTTACAAAAATATATCCCTCTATTAAGCAAATATCTATTGTTTCAATCATATTTGAGTCATTCAAACTTTTGATGATATAAGTCGGTTGGAAGTCTTTATTAACCAGCGGCTTTCAAACCATGCATATAACCTATAAATTAATGATTTTTAGCTTTCATTTTTTAAAATAAGGAGCACTGGCGGCAATACTTTTCTTTTAACGAAAAACATGTTACATTGAATCATTAATATTGTTATTTATGTTTGCATATCTAACAACCAAAATGTGGTAATAGTCAAATTGTTTTGTTTCAGTTTTACCAATAAATGACCATAAATCAAAATCGTTGGCAACTTCTTTTTAACTTTTTATTGTAAGGCTCCAACCATCACAGAGACATTAAATTGATATTCTCGAAATATTTAATTATTTAAACTGTTAAGAGAAAAGTGTGAATGCTTATGTGTAGGTTGCCAGTATTAACATTGGTGGCCGGATTTTGTTTTCATTTTTGTATTTTGCACATGTAAAAACAAGAGACTAAGACATTGAGAATTTGTAACATATATTTGTTGTTGAATATATTGGACATGTAAGTAAGAGAGACTGGAAAGGATCAGGCTCTTACACAAATATATTTGTTCTATGTTTTGCAATAGTTGTGTCTATCTTTGTCTGTCTTTTGATCAACTGTATAATGTTTTTGGTTGATGAATGAAACAACTTAAATTAATTACTTTAACATGTTTAAGATTTTTTGTTAGCAGAATGAAGCGTTTTACTGTGAAATTCGTCTAAATGCCAACGTCTGAAACGCCTGTGATGGGCAATATATGAGATAACAGGTGTTAGTTTGTATTGATTTAAAATATGACTTGGAACAGGAATTTCAAAATTTGCTGACATAGAAAAATTCAGTTGAAATTGCAAAAGAATACTATAATTGTTCTAAAGTGATGTCTTTTGAAGTGAACATTGCATTATCGAAACCGTTTGGTATTTTATATTTGTTTGCTTACAATAATGCAATGTTGTATGTACCTCCATAAGTATGCAAAGTAATATACAAAGTATAGGCATTAATGCATATTCAGCGTCGAACCTATATAGTGTGTGTAGTAATTGTATAATGACATCATTCAATATAGTCAACTATGTGACACGTAAAAGTAAGGCGATATGCTGAACTTTTGTTTTTGTATTGTGTAAAGTAAGGCATTCTAAAACTAAACATATTACATAAAAATATTTTCAAAAATACATTTCAACTAACACTTAAAGAACGACTTATTGCGAGATTTCAAATCATAGTCTTGTTTCCGTTCATCTAATTACATGTAGTTAAAGTTTCATTTAATTCGAACATTGGAAAGTCAAATGACGAAATATTTAGGTATCTCAAAAATTTAGAAATAATCGAACACAAAGTATAATAACAAAAATACTGAACCCCAAGGAAAATTCAAAACGGACAGTCCCTTATCAAATGGCAAAATCACAAGCTCAAACACACCAAACGAATATATAAACAATTGTCATATTCCTGACTTGCTACAGGCATTTCCATCTGTGGAAATGGTATATTAAATATGGTTTTAAAACTACCTAAACCTCTCACTTGTATGACAGTCGCATATAATTCATTTATAGTGACAACAATGTGTGAGCAAAAACAAACAAAATAGGTAAAAATGTCAAAAATTGAAACAATGTAAGTTGATTTTATTTATAAATATTGTATAAATAAGCCAACTTTGATATATTGACCACATGTTTAACACATTAAGACATTAAAGGTTTTGTAATACGCTTGATTCCGAACTCCGAACCAGTGGCGACGTTGCTTGTCCTAAGTCAGCGTAGTGTAGCAGAGACGTGTTCCACTGTTTAATAAAAAGAAAAAGTTTTTTTTCTTCACGATCATTTGGTAGATCCCTGCATTTTTGAACTACTAATTGTACATGCATATCTGTTTCATTATGTACATTATTCAGCCCTTCTTGTTTTTTTTTCTTTCATTTTTTTCTTTATTTAAGTCGTAATATGGATATAATCTCAATTAAGATAGTTATCCATTTCCATAATGTACTGACCTATACATTACTGTAAATTTATTAATTTTCGTTGATTGAAGACAAATTGTATTTTCGTGAATATTTAATTTCGTGGATTTGCTGTATACAAACTTTTAGAAATGGATACGTCATTTAACTTTTAAATTCTTGATCAACCTCTACGAAAGATATCCGTGAAAATAAACATAAATCCACAGTATGCAAATCGAAAACCGCACTAACGACTTTGAAAGGTCAAATACAATACAATACAAAGTTGAGGAGAATTGAAAAGTAAAAGATTCTGAAAAAAAAAAACTGTGCCAAATACAATTTAGGTTACCTATGTGTAGGTACAGAAACCTTAGTGTTTCGAATAGCTCAACATTTTATAAAAACTTAATCTAAAGATAAATACCTTTCAATTATATTTCATGTCAGCATTGAAGTGCTGATTATTAGGGGTGTGATACCCTTGATGATTGAACGTTTACCAGTGGCATGGACATAGTGGTTTACCTTATCTAGAAGTGATCAATAACGGAATACTACATTTCATGAATTATGCAGAATTGATAAATATGTCTCAGTAAGAAAGCATTAATTTTCAAAATCATATTCTTTTCATTTCTCTAGTGAAAAGCATTTTCAAGTCATATTTCGTTCTTTCTATTTAAGCTATTATAAAACCTGTTTGCACCGTTGGAGTTATTCAGATTTGTTTGAACATCTTTCGTTTCTTCACTGTAAGAAGTGTGTCTATAAGTTGTAATCAACTTATATTTTCAAGGAGACTGACATTTTATTTAAGGAGACTTTCTTTATTTTTCATTCCCCACATATTGTGATACGGTGTGAGATTTCTCCGATTCGTTGCTTCAACTTTATAATTTATGTGTTAGTCAAGACCGTAACTCATAAAGGTACACACACACATGAATGTTTTTCTCTCTTACTTTTCTTCCTATCTTTCCTTTATCTATCTTGTTTGGTTATAAGTCTCTTTAATTTGTTTGATCTGAATTATTTAATAATGAAATTAAATATTTGCAAGCTATAGAATTCTATAGATGAGTTGGACAACTTGGATATAATACTTTTTTGTGATATTTGTTTTCTTCAAATAAAATATGTTTGAATTAAAAAGTACAGTTTGACTTTAAAAAAAGGTGCTGAATTAACAATGATTAAAGTAAAGATGTAAGTAACCAAATGTTGAACAGGAAAGATGATATTGAAAGCTTGTATATCGAGGTGGAATAACTAAGGCCTTGTTTACAACAAATGTCGCGTACTGTAAACATGTTTGCAATTAGCTTCATATAATGAACATTGTTTTAACATTTAAAGGAGTACAGAACACTTAAGATAGTTAACTCTATAAAAATGAACATTTTTACCACACACTTTTAGCTAAGAGAAATCAAACGTCACAATGATCAAAATTAGTGTTTGTTAAACTGCTATATATCCAATGGAAATTGTGTGGTTCAAATTTTAAATTTTTTTTATATTTTTGTGTAAATAAATATTTTGTTGACATTTTTGACAGTTAAAAAGCCTAATCTATTTTAGCCGAAGTGGTGAGTACCCCGAAATGTGTTCTCATCTGTACACCGGTTTAAATTACTTGTAGATGAGATTTGATCATACCAGTAAACTATATGTAGGAGTAATGGAAATGCTCATTACATATAATTGATTTGACAATTTCACTTATAACCTCTTTAGGATTTGATGCATTTCATCTTGTATCTTGTGTGGGTGAGGCGGTACGAGGGGGCATGTAATATTTTATTATTTTTTTTTAAATTCTAAATTCCTTGAAGAAAAAAATGTTTCCTTTGAAAATAAAGGGCGCAAAACTGAGTTTTAAAAACTATAATCTATGGTCCTGTTTGTTCTATAAAAAACAAAATGTTTGTTTTTAGTTTTTGCCTAAAGTATATGTCCCTCAAGAGAAATGGATGGCCACTGCTTTTTGAAAAACGTTCTTCTGATTTAAAATACCTTTTCAGAGTTCCATGGATGTCATGATTACATAATAGAGAAGCAGGCCGAATGAGAGTTAATTCCATTGCCTCGTGAAAAGAGAGCGCGACGTTCTCTGTAGTTAAGAACCTTTGCGACAACTCTTTGAGGGTTTCGCAGGAAGCCTGATGCCAGTTGCAAGGCTTAATTTCTATCCCTGTCCAATATAGCCTTATTTTCTCAATCATTCTAAATTCCCACACCCCTTCATCCTGACTGACTACCTACTGCATGAAAATTGTATAAGTTGTTTATTCGTTTTCATCCTGAAAATGCTTGAACTATTTATCCCTTGACATAACCAACCAAAAAGAATTTTATTAATGCCCCA